GACAGGGAGAGTTGGGCACAGAAAAAGATGAATCTGTTGCTCTGCAGTTATATGGAGCATGGCAGAATTGGCTCGAACCATTCTCTGAAGTGCTTCCAGGGTTATTGACCTCACTTACACATTAAACTTGAGGAAAGTCAAAGGAAAGAAAATCTGCAGGTTGTGGGAAAAGGCAGGACTTTAGTCATAAATAAGTATCAAAGATCAATTTTTAGGTTTTTTCCCATGGTGTTAAATGTTCAGTGACAGGCCCAAAAAGAATGTGGGTGATTTCATGCAATACAAATGTTATAAAAAAAACAGAAGTACATTCATTTTCAAAAATGTTTATCAAATCTACAAACTCTAGTTTAAAAAGAAGGGAAGCCTGTGTAAGTTTTTTTTATGACAAAAAAACCCCCCCAAAAAACAGCATGAAACCTCTTGATATAACTACTTGAAATCAAAGTCTTGTTCAGTGTGAGTTAGCAGAATTTTCTCCTGACTTAAACAATGACTGTCCACTCGGTGGGTCTTGAAGAGGAGACATCTGTACATTAGTCACAGGATGTAAGAAACCTAACAAGTCTGATCAGACGCACAGCTCCAGCTGACCTGGTTATCAGTTCTTGTTATCAGCACAAAAGGCATCTGAAGAAGGGTTTATTGTGACTTTGTGGCAGTTCAAAGCAGAAGTATCTTTATTATTATCCTACCAGTGGTGACAGAAGGTTATAGATTTAACCTTAAATGCTTTGCACAGTGAGAAAACAAGAGAGAAACACGTCTGCTGTAAGAGAATCTGTTTCTACAACACACAGAGAACTAATACATCAAGTTGAAATGTCTGACACACAGTTTGTTTTTGTCCCAAACATACAGTAATTAAAAAAAAAAAAAAACTGTTGAAAAAGGAAGAACACTTCACTTGAATGAACAACTGTCAGGACAGAACTTATTTTTCCACTGAACCTTTTTTTTTTTTTTTTTTTAGTCCCAAAAGGAATATCAGAAGCTCATAAACGTATGATGGAAATTTTAAATCACTTAAGTTCAAGTTGTTCAAAAAAAAGAAGGTCCCTTTGCATCTTCTCTACATTTTATTTCCAGCTAATAAAAAAAAAAAAAAAAAAAAAAAAAAAAAAAAAGAAACTCTGGGGTTGCTCATTTTTGCTAACAGAGGTGATGAAAATGGCTGTTGACAGTTTTAAAGCCTCGTGATGTTTAAGCCTCGGATCCAAACCTCTCCTGTGAAACTCAAGTTCAGTAACACACTGTTTTCCATTTGTCATTCATAGAAAAACTTCTCTCTCTGATTTAAGCTGCTGGTGAATGTTTGAAAACTTCTAGAAGTATTCCTATAAAAGACTCATGTTTGGAATTAAGATAATTTATAAAATTAACTGAGTCAGACATGATATGACTTTATCATGATGCACAACAAAACACAGTATTTTTCTTAATGAAACTTAAAAAACGAGTTTGTGGACACTCCCTGTTCAGTGAGAAAGAACAGGAATATTAACCAAATATAACATTAACCAGATAATACTGCTGCACTGTACTGACAGTCACACTGCAGCATCCAGCCAGTAGTCCGTGTTTAAGTATTTTAATCTCTGATCTCATCAGCTTTCCATCGTGTCATCTATGTGCTACTCAAATATGCAGAGCTTGGATAAAGCAAAGAGGCACCCCTATAAACACACACACACACACACACACACACACACACACACACACACACACACACACACACATACACATACACACACACACACTTAATGTTCTTATGTGTTTTCACTACTATTGAAACTCTGGTCTTTTTCAAAAGTTAAAGGTCACTCGACATCAACATAATTCAGGGAATTCACCAGGTAAAAATGAGACTTGTTGAGCTTTGAACAAACAGCAGCTTTTCTTGGAGAAGTAGTGATGGACTCATTCAGAGAGATCGCTTTGTCAGAAAGCTGAAATATGATTTAAATTAAATAATTATCAACATTAATAAATTATATTAAAAAAAAGAAAATGACACAATATGATAATGGTTCAGTGTTTTTGTGAAAATTTTCAGTGTGAAATAATTTGAAATGTCATGGTCTTCAGTACAAACAAGTTCTGTAAGGCTTTACACTCTGAGAGGTTACTGACTTCTGAACTGTGTGTGTGTGTGTGTGTGCCAACTAGCTCACCTGACAAAGGCAAAAAACAGGAAATGAGTTGTGTAGTATTGTATTATGTCATGCCAGGGTGAAATCACCACGGCCAAAGTCCAACGGTTACTTTAGTCACCCACAAAGACAAATACTACTCCCTCAGTTTATAGAGATTAATCCAGAGGCAGGCAGACAAAACAAACCGAGTCTAAGTATTAAAATTCCACAATAAAGACACAATTTGTGTCTTTATTTTATCATCACGTAAAAACATTAAGTTCAAAGCAAATTTTATCATAGAAGCAAAAACAGCTGAAATGATAGCAAATGCTGCACATGCTTAAAACATTTCACAAAGACGGCACAGATGTTATAAAAGGATGAGACTGAACAACAAATCAGTCATTAGTGTAAGACCCTCCAAAAACAATCATCAAACCGTTTTTTTGCAGACGTGGCTTCATGTAATTGTTTCAGGAATCTGTTTATGCAGCATCAACAAATAAGAAATTCACTGAAATTTGTTTCTGTAAACTCCAATCCAATAAAAAAAAATATAAAAAAAAGACTTAATTAAGTTTTCACTGCAATTCCAAGAAAGGCCAGGTTTGAAATGCTTCAATTTCCAGATTTATTTTAAATATGAGTTGGTGGGAGGTAAAGTTTTGGAAAAGTCCTGCGGCTGAGGTGAGAAAAAAAAAATGTTGATGTGAAGGTTTGGTGGAACTGAATTTTGAGAACGAGGGTATTCAGAGGACAAATGTTTGAGTTTGTGTTTGTGGGTATGTGCGTGTGTGTGTGTGTGTGTGTGTGTGTGTGTGCAAAGGGTTTGTTTGTGTGTGTGTGTGTGTGTGTGTGTGTGTGTGCGTGTGTGTGCACATGCAACTGTGCATGTACAGAGTGGGTGGGTGCAACTGCAGGTGGATGAATTTTCGCAGGTGTAGAGGTAGGTGTAAATTTACTTTTAAGCACCTGCACAGTTGCGTCTGTCTGCACCTAAAGGGTTAAAATTGAAAGGATGTCACCCATTCATAAGGTGAAGTGTGATTGAGAGTGAGAGTGAGTGAGGCACAGAAAATGATAGGTGAGACGGTGGAAGGGCCTCAGCGAGGAAGGAAGCTGACGGTTGATAAGTTGTAATGAGGGAAACTTCCTTTAGAGAAGAAGCGGGCAGTGAGTCAGACTGAAACCTGTCAATAACCAATGATCTATCGCTTTGAGTCTAGTTCAATGAACTGTGACTGCAAGAGGGGACAGGCCTTTCAACAACCCGACTACCACACACACACACACACACACACACAGAAATATATATAATATGTATGTATATATAATATTTTAACTTTTGTGTAAAGCCTGTTTTATCTAAGCGTCATTCACCTCAATTAGAACATATTTTAATTTGTGGCATTAAAGTAGGATTAACAAACTATGTATAAAAAATTTGTATGTTGAGAAAAGAGCAACAACAGCTTATTTAATAACCGTCTTTGAGTTTATGTCTTTTCAGAATTCATTTTAGAAACAAAGCAAACACGCAAAAACGACAACATGGCAAGGAAGAGAGCTGATGCAATCTCATCGCCTGATTTCAGCAAGTGTGTGTCTGCGTGAGAGAGAGATACCAAGAGTTCATGAGTATGAATGTCTCTCTCTGTGTGTGTGTGTGTGTGTGTGTGTGTGTGTGCGTGTGTGTGTGTGTATAATAAATGGCACTCCCACCAGCAGGTGTGTTGAGGGCAGTTTCCAGCTGCAGCCTGGGGCATCTCTACAAGGACACCCATCGTGGCACCCATCAGCACCCACACCCAACACCAAGGTTCTCTTAACTTCCATTACATCTAGCCCTTATTTTGAAAAGCCCAGCGGCTGTATATAAAAGTGTGTGTATGTGTGTGTAGGTGTGATTCTTATAATTTTACATTTTGATTTGCATCTTTCTTTAAAAGGTTTCACTGGTTTTTAAACTTTTAAAAACCAGTCTGTGTCTGTTGGCTTCATGAACAAAAAGTCATGTCTCTCAGTCTGACAGAACAACTTCATGCAGTTGGTATATTCACACTGGGCCTCCAAAAATACTGACACACATAAATTTGCTTTGTGAAATCTTTCCCAATTTCTCGTTCCTTCCAAGAGGTTCCAGGCTAATAAACACTAGCATATCCTGCCTGAGACGCCTGACACCTGACAGGCCTTATTTTATCAAAAAGATAAAAGGTTGCATCGCAGAGATCAATCTCTAGAGACCCAGAAGCAGCCCTCTCTTTTGGCTTGAGCTCCCTATGAAATCAGGTACGTAGGTAATAACCCACTATGACCGTTCATCATCAAGAGATAAAACAGAGGAGGAGGTTTCTGTGATAGACAAGAGTTCATCCTGTCCTGTGCAGCAGCCAGAACATGTTCATGCCCATAGTCATCCAGTGGAAAAATCCAAGCCATTAATCACCATGTCGGCTATTACGGCAGAGTAAGGAGCCAAAAGGGGAACAAAATGTGACAAAACCTTTGTCTCAGGGTCCACGCAAAGTATTTCAAACAGGATAGAGCAACAAGTCATCTTTCCAAAATCACCATGTTTAATTCAAATCAACAACTGAGTGTGTGTGACCTTCATCACAGTCATGAAGGAGGAGGAGGAGGAGGCAGATTTCACACAAAGGCATATAAATTACCTGAATGCACCGTGACCACCCAAAAGATCCCTCAACCGTCAAATTCTGCATTAACTCTTTCATGTGTGGTAGCTGCATTTTTACATTACTTTTTACTGTGCAAACACACACACACACACAAACACAAACACAAACACACACACTCACACCCACACCCACACCCACACACCCGTTGAGCTTTACTCACCCGATGAGGGAGACCATCTGCTCCACTATGTGCCTGCTGAAGGTGACGATCACAAACAGTTTCTGTATGACAAAGAAACACACAGAGAAAGATCGAGTCAGTCACTGAACCATGAGGTCACTGCTGGGGAGCAGAACAAGGCAGTGTGTGCATCATAGTTTGATCAGTAATTCCTTAACTCCCCCTCACACATATACACACACACAAACACAAACACACACACACACACACACACACACACACACACACACACACACACACACACATCCTTCCCATCATGCTCAAAGCCCATGCCTTGCACCACCAAGATGGTTTGGTCTAAAGGCAGCCATGAAGACGCCCTTTTGTCAAGGAGGGCAAGAAATAAAAGGCCTGTGCTCTATGACACACCACCAACAAAGTGCAACAGGTCAGCATAATCACACTGTCTGTCATCTGAAGTGTGTGTGTGTGTGTGTGTGTGTGTGTGTGTGTGTGTGTGTGTGTGTAAAGGATGCATGGATAGAGGAGTGGAGGAATCAAAGGAGATGTGTCATTGCTTCACAGGGGTTCTGGATGTCGGCTCCTGTCTGGTCTGATTCCTGCTTAGTCACCAGGCCAGAAAGGACAGACGGGCGAATGGCAGCCATTCTGGCTCATATCAGCCCTGCGTCCTCCCGCAGAGGAGCAGGAACAGGCAACCGCTAACTGACCAGATATTTCAAAGTCCTTCACTTGCCCTCTTGAGTTGTTGTAAGTTACTGTATTCTTATAAACAAACATGTGTTTTGGACACTAAAAATGTGGTTTGATCCAGTAACATCTAGGTTGCCTTCAACATGCCATTAGAAAGGCTTAACCCAACAGAGCGTTTGGCGGGTCCATCATTACAAACTCATGTTGTGCAGAAAAGGATTGTTCAAACCCACAGAACCTAATTTTAAATTCTAGTCCAGATCCCAAGGTTTCCAAAGATACTAAATATATGTTCCCCAATTACAGGGAAAAGTGTATAAAATGATACACAAGACATCTAGAATTTTCCATTTTGTGTAATGATGGAGCCATAAAAATGTCATGTTAGATTTGAATATTTCACTCAATGTAAATGTTTTAGCTTCAATTAGGTGCTGGAGGCACATACAGAATATATTGTATATCATGTGGAAATGTTTTATCTTGGCTGGGCTGCAAGTGGTTAAAATCATATTACATTGATGTTAATGTAATTTTATATTGACCCACAACCATTACCATATTTCAGGATGCTTTTGTAAAAGCTAAATGGAGCTGATCAACCTTGACTTGGACCTTGACAAGCTATTGAGACTATATTAATGATATATTACTGTATATTATTGAGGTTTTAAAAGCTGCAAACTGCTCTGATTGGTAGGATTTTAGCAGCTGGTTTTATAATAAATCCACTTTGAACTAAACGTGTTTAACTTCATGATTAACTAAAGATATAAACTGTGTCTTCACATGAATTTCCCCTAGGGGATGAATAAAGTATCTCTCTGTCTATCTTGTGGAATATTAATATTTTTTTGCAACACATTTTACAAACAATGAAGGTGTAGAATCAGTAAAATTACAGAAAGTATAGAGAGTGTAAATTATTATACTGTAAGTGGACAAATGTGAATTAGACATCACTTTTAAATGGTTACACTGCAGATAAGTCTGCACCAGGACGCCTCAATGTCACTTTTAATTTCATTAAAATTGTGACGGGCTCCTTTGATCAGTGCTTTGTTACAGTGTCCATTGTCAGGTTATGTAACAGGTCACCCGTGTGTTGTCATTTTGGTTGTGTTTTAATTTGGGTGGGTGTTAATCCTCAGGACGACACTGAGAGTTAAACAGAATGAATGACGGACTCGCAGTCAAAATGTTGGCAATGTCACAAAAATAACAAACCTTTGGCGTCAAATCTGCAACTATAAAAAAAGACTGACATTTGCAATCGTACTATTTCTGAGCCTCATGCAAAATTAACATGAGGCCGTGCTGTAAGTAAATCCCGTCAGGGCAAACTTCAACCTCGACTTCAGTGACAGGTTTCGGAGCACTGCACTTAAAGCTTGATTTTATGAACCAATTGATCCGTCATCCCACGGAGAGGAGGAAGGGACAGCAAGATGGCCGACACAGGAAAGCTGACTAAGATGCCTTAAATGTGTCTGCTCGGAAACTGATGGTGACACGGTCTTGACTCGCTGATTTCAATTTACTGACAATGCTGATGAGAGCTACGCACATCACAGGCAGACATAAACACATTGACAAGGGAGGGCATGACATCAGTAGGTTACAGAAAAGGACCAATTACTATCAAGAACCACAAGCTGCACTGAGTGGGTGAACAGTAAAATGGAAGTGAGAGCATCCTGCTTTAAATGTTGTGTTTTTGCAGCTCTTACGCTCCATAAATGCAGATTCTTGGTCAAAGGGGAAATAACAATACCAATCATCATGTTTCACTGTCGCCACATGAAAGTCTACTTTCTCTGCCACACCTCACAGCTCTTCTGTCCTCAGCAAAAGCACCTCTCTCAAGGGCCTGAAATGTGTATTTCCACCCATCATCCTCAAGTGACCTGCTGCGTCACAAAGCAGCTGACGTTGACCGTTCAGCAGCGCACATTCAGGCGCTCCAGAGGCTTAATGAGCATAAAAGGCGGAAGCAGTGCAGAATAAAGAAGCCTCTCCTTGGAGACTGGTGAGAACACACCTGAAGCACAGGTACAAACGCAGATCAAAAACACGCTTTGAAGCACTGAGGCCGCTCCGAGTTTTACGCCCACAGACACACACACACACACACACACACACACACACACACACACACACACACACACACACACACACACACACACACACACACACACACACACACACACACACAAGCACACACAAGCACACACACACACACGTATACAAACACAAGCTTCAAAATCCCCTTTTGTTCCCTCTTGGCCCATGAGGGAGAACGTCACCTGCTCTCCGCTGCACTTTCCTCTCATACTTCTTGTTTTCTGCTCTCACACTGTAAACTACTGAATCATTTGCATCAGAAGCAAAAAAAAAAAAAACCTGAGCTTGAAGAAAATTAAACCAAGCAGCTTCAGGAGAGATTGGGGCCCCCCAGACATGCCGGAGAGTCGGGTGAAGTCTTTCTTTTCCGTGAGACAGGGAGGGACACACCTCTGTCAGTGGGGGCCCCTGGGACCCCTGGGCGTAATCTGGTCCTGTGTGTGTGATTCTGTCTGCCATGCCTGCAACCCCCCCCCCCCCC